ACAATCCAAGACCAAACTTAAGCACTTGAGCTCAAGGGAAACTCCACGGGGTAAGGTTTATTCAATCAACTTAAAACGTGAATTACAATCAATGAAAGAGGCTATTTATAGCCAAGAACAACCTAACATAATCCTAATAAAACAATGAAACTAATTTCAAGCAAAACAATAAAAGAAATTCGAACATAACACGGAAACTTGCTTTCCAAGTAACTATCTTCTTCTCCAAGTAAGCTATCCAGGAAACAACCCTTCGTACCATCTTCATGCTCCTGGATCTTGGCCTTCTAGGTTGATTTGAAGTCAGCCAATTCCTTCCCTAGGCTTATGATACGCCCCAACTCCTCTTCACAAGCTTGGAGGGTGAATATTTCAAAAACAGGAAAAAAAACAGATGTTTCAATCGTGCAACTTCTCACCGGAATTTGGGAAAGAGGCTCGATTGATTGGAAGGTAGCAACTCGTCCACAATTGAGGTGGATACTCAACTGATGCAGAGCTCGCTTGCTTGATGGAATCAATCCGATCAACCAAGGACAGAATTCACGAGATCAACTCAATGAACCAAAAGTGTTTTCTCATAAAAATTGATTCAATTACAACGCAATCTTAACCTTAAATAGACCCTAGCTAGAGTACCGAACAAGGAAGGAAATCTTAAACCTATTACAACTTGACTTAAACCCCAAAAGAACTCAACCGTACATGGAAAGTAAACCAAACGTGAACAAGCTATAACTCCCAATCCCACAAGGATTGCTAATTTCCAAAGTCAGAAACAGTGGCCTCGACACGATCTTTGGACGCTTCGTTCGAGTGCTTCTAGGACCCAAATCAATCAGCCAATTCCCCGTTGTTGTATTCTGAAATGTGTAGTTTAATGTGGTAAACACCATTGATCCCAACTCGCAGCCCTTTTGTCAGAATTATCCTCCAAAGTGGCTATGCTGAACACGGTTTTGGACTTGGACAGAATTCGGCAGTTTTCCTACGTAGAGCTAGCCTTTTGTCGAGCCTAAAAATGGACCTTCCACGTTCCACCTTGAGCCACCAAACACTCCAACTGATAGAAGATGTCTTGAGCTTCAAAACAAGCTCCCAAACTCACCATTCCATTGCCCCAATCAGAAGAACCAAGTCCCCAAAGTACCCTATCTGAAGTCATCAAAAGACTTAACCAAAATTCCACATTGTTCAAATGAATTGGGTTACCTTCTTGAACAAGTAGTTCCAGCTTGGCAAGGAAGTAATCCAGGGTTGCATCAGGCCCTCCCTCTTCAAAAAGCTTTGTCCTCAAAGCTGATTCCTTCCGCCTCTCAAAACCTGCACAAAATTGACCCCAAATTGGGTCGAAAGTGGGCCTCTCGAACTGACGAATCTGGAAAATTAGATCAGTGTTCTTCAGGACATCAATTGGGGATTCTCGATTGAGGCCGCGCCAGTCTAATTCACTGCCTCCACGAGCTTCGCTGGACTCACAGTCGAACATCTGTACCCGTCCCATGCATTGATTCGTCACCATCGCCGTCAATTCGTCGATTTGTACTTTCCCGCCGTCGCTGGAATTTGAACTTCCGCGACCTAAAGAAGCCAATTCGATTTTGGGGGTTTTAGTCCCAGGCATCTTCAAGTCGAATTGATGCACCCTACAGCTTCCTGGCACCTCCATGGACGATTCTACATCAACTGTTTTGGTCGAATCGACCTGAAACTCCCCAACCCATTCGGTCACCTTTTCTTCACTCGTGGGCATTTTTAGGGGAATTGGAGCTCGACTGGGGGCCTGCAAAATAGGAGGAATTAGCTCTATTTGGTCAAGGGAAGAGCTTCCCTGGCCCTCAGAGAGTGTGCCAACATCTTTGACGGAGTTCCAATTGCCCTGGTGACCTCCACCCAATTCACTCTCTCTCCTCCCCTGCGCCGACAACGAACGACAGGGGCGACGGCGGCGAGACGTCCTCTTTTTTTGTACCCGCTGAGCATAAAGCGTCGGGTGAGAAGGGAGCCTCCAAGGTGATCCTCAGAATTTGTCGTACTGGATTCCCCTTTCACTCGCCGTCGGCCAGCTTCGAGCTGCTCCTGATCCTCATGAACCTCCGCCGGAGTTAACGGCTTCAGTAAGAACCTTTTCCCGCCATGTCGAACCTTGTAACAATTTGTTCCCTCGTAATGGCATACGCCTCTATCAATTCGGGCAGTTTTCCTGCGTAGAGCTAGCCTTTTGTCGAGCCTGAAAATGGACCTTCCACGTTCCACCTTGAGCCACCAAACACTCCAACTATTAGAAGATGTCTTGAGCTTCAAAACAAGCTCCCAAACTCACCATTCCATTGCCCCAATCAGAAGAACCAAGTCCCCAAAGTACCCTATCCGAACTCGTCAAAAGACTTAACCAAAATTCCACATTGTTCAAATGAATTGGGTTACCTTCTTGAACAAGTAGTTCCAGCTTGGCAAGGAAGCAATCCAGGGTTGCATCAGCTTAGAAAGTTTCATAGTTTTATATCCAACTCGAAGCACCAATTGGTTACCTCCCAAACTCAGCGAATAGTGCCCAAAGTTGGTACCAAAAACTATGTTTCTGCCTTAGCCTCATTCTGGCAGAATTCACGTTGCAGGCTAGGGTTTTGATTGCTTAGAGAAACATCCAATGTTCAAAACAAGTCACTAACCCTGCATTTTCAATGAACCATTTGAGAGAAACGACCTTCCAAAGTAGCCTTCCCATAACTATTCCAATACTTGGAGCTTGTTTTCCCTCAACTTGATTTGATCTTAGAGTGCTTGATTGGAACTTGAAACCTCCCTGAATTGTGATAATATCAACCTATCTTAGAGAGGAAACCTCCTTAGGTTAAGAGGCTCAATTTAAGATGGGTATTCTTAGGCATTTCATGCATCCCAGGCTAGTTTAGAGAGGAAACCTCTTTAGGTTTAGAGGCTCAATTTGATGTGGGTGTTCTTGGGCATCGAATGAATTGGTGCGCGACAAGGCGATTGCGAACCGTAGGAGGAGCAACTTGTACTAACGAAGGTGTTCACTGGTCTTCAAGCTTAGATAGCTTGTCAGGTTGTTGTTGTTGAAACCATTGTCCACCTTGTGCTTGGTACAATTGTTGAAAGCTTGAGCCTTGGACTTGAGGCCTTTGTTGGATGAAGGTCGGCTGAGGTTGGTAGTTTCCCGTGGGGCCTTGAAAACCCGGGGGCCTCGGATTAGTCGGTGATGACCAAGCAAATTTGGGGTGGTTGCTCCATCCGGGATTATAAGTATTGTTATACGGGTAGTTAGACTTAGCATTTGCCACGAAGTTGACTTGTTCCTCCGGAGCGACTACCTCCTTCATTGCCTGACACTCCGCCATCTCATGGCTAGTGATAGAACTCCAGTCGCATGACATCACCGGCCTTTTTCCTTGCCTTTTATCTTCAAGCATTACCTCTATCAACTTATCAAACTTCGCCTCAAGCGGAGCGCTCGCTCCCATGCTTCTCACTCCCCTATCATTGCTTCTCCTCCCACTTCTAGTCAATCCCCAATCGTACCCCTTGAGGGCCATGTCTTCAAGTAGCTCGGCTACTTGGGCGGAGCCATATTCATCAATTTCCTTTGACACAAGGAGTCAATGAGAATTTTGTCTTCTTGGATTAGACCTCCGTAGAAGGTTTTAATCCGAAACTGTTCTTCAAACCCGTGGTGAGGGCACTGAAGAAAGTAATCGGAGTACCTCTCCCTAGCGTCCCTCAAGGTCTCATCCTCTTCTTGCTCGAAATGGGTAATCTTCTTTCTCCACTCCGCCGTCTTCGAAGGTGGGCAGTAGCGAGTCATAAACTTGTTGAGGAGGTTGTCCCATGAGGTGATTTACCGAGGTGGGCGATTGTTTAGCGACCTAAGTGCTTTCCCCGAAAGTGAATAGGGGAAAATCCTTAGTTGCAAAGTTTCGGCCGACACACCATTGATTTTCAAGCTCCCCGCAAGCTCCAAGAATATCTGCACGTGCTCTCTTGGTAACTCGCTCTCAAAGCGGAACAAATCATTGCTCTGTATCCTAGTCACTAGAGCCGGCTTGATCTCAAATTGTTTGCCGCCACTGGAGGATGTAGTATTGGCGATTGAATGTCAATTGGCTGTGGGGCCATATAATACTCCATTGTCCTCGGGGCTTCCTCTTCCTCCGCCGCATCGTTTAGCTGACGAACTTGGGAGGCTCCATCTTGCCTTTGTTTCCCCGCCATTTCTACTCCAACAACGGGTTCAACTTCCACTTCTTCTCCACTAACAACGGGACCCAATTGTTGTCCCCTTCCTTCACTCCTTCTCCTTGCCTCCGCTAGCTCTCTCTCCCTTGCTAGGAGCCGGAGAGTTCAGTTTATATCCTTGTCAAGTGGTAGCAAAGGTGTCTGGTTACTCTGGGTCATACACCACCTACACACAATCGAAAAACACACCATGTCTTGCACAAGCAAAGCACACACACTTTCAAAATTGGAAATCAAAAGCTAGATTAACACCAAACAACTTTTTCAAGATAATAGACCGTTGTTCCCCGGCATCGGCGCCAAAAACTTGACTCGTCCCCAATACCACAATAAATTCCCGCCGCATGTCCAAGTATAAACCTTAGTCGGGTGCAATACATGATAAGTATGTTTAAATATCGACCTGTACCGGTCCGTGTACCCCTACTTCAGTCATTCGAATCATTATCTAGCAACAAGGTTTTCGTTGAAAAGTTTGCTAATTAAAATTAAATAAGGCAAAGGTAAATGGTTTTGAAAGCTCTTTGTGAGAAGGATCACTCGAGTGTCGTTTCCCCCTAGCTACTACCATGGTATGTGAACCAAAATGATTGCTATGGGCAAGGTGATCGCTAACCGCTAGGAGACGCAAATATGATCATAGACCACACCCATGATTACTAAACCGAGGCATGCATTATAGGCTGTCACTAGGCCCTCTCAGTTTAGGCAATCAATGGTTGACTTACTCCCTCACTCAACCCATAGGTTGGACGGCTTAATTGCGCTTAACCAAATTGCTTAATCCAATATTGAGGTTTGCCCTAAATTAACCTAGTTAGGAGACTTAAAAAAGCCCTAGGAATACCAACTCAATTGTGTCTCCCTTGGCAGGGGGTTTTCCTCTCTAATCTAGGTTAAGTGGCTAATTAGATTGCTAAGCATCAACATGCACAACCCTTAGATTGCTAAGCACAAACATGCACAATCCTTAGATTGCTAAGCACACATTTGCACAATCCTTAGGTTGCTAAGCACAAACATGCACAATCATCATGAATATTACCTCAATCATTGAATTAAACAACACCCATAAACAATCATTCAATTCACATAAAGAAAACTACATTGTAGCTAGTTAGGGTTTCACAACACACAAGTGAAAAAGAAATATACTACATGCAAGAAATGGGAGAATCACAAGGGGAAGAGGTAGAAACCATCATGAAGGAGGCTTCTAATCTTCTTGGCACTTGTGCTGAACTTCTCTTGGGGAGAATCTTCCCAAATCCACTCTTGAAGAGAAACCCTAGCCTCTTTCTCATTTGGTTCGTCTTTCTCTCTCTAAAATCTGAAGAAGGCTTTCTCACTCAATGGACTCTCCCTTATCTCTTCCTTTCAGCTCATCTTAAAAACAGGGAACGAGCTCAGTTCCCTGCCTTAGTTCACGGCCGTGAACTCTGAAACGCGTCAGTGAACTCAAGGCTGGTGCCAAAATGCACTGCTTCGCTTACACGTGTTCACGGTCTTAGTGACCGTGAACTCAATTAGCATCAGTAACTTGAGTTTTGGCCCTAGACGCCTCAAAGTTCACGAGCAACAGCTCTTCTTCACGGTCATACAAGACCGTGAACATCCAAGAAAAACCGTAAACTCGCCATTTTTCAACCCTTCTCCCGGTTTTCGCTCCTTTTTGTCCAACTTCGACTTCGTGGCTGGTTTCACCTGTTAAATCCAGAAACACACTAAAACACGAGAAACCTAGCGTAAAACCACCCTTTTTGGAGCGAAATTGCCACAAACGCTTAGGGAAAACATGGGTAAAACATGTACAATTAGGCCCGAATCAGAGGGACAGTCCGTGACTCTATTCCTTTCGCGATACGTCTGAATTAGACAAACCACCCAACTCTGAGCCAAGAACTTGCGAATAGCATTAAGCATAGTAGCATAGGGGTGAACCGAGTCAATTCTCTTGTTGATCAACTCTATCGCTAACTTGGAGTCTGTTTCGATGGTTAAGCATTGTGCTTCTTTCTTCCAAGCTAAGTTAAGTCGTTACTAGATGCCCCAGAGATCCGCTAACATCGTCATCCCTGTCCTGATTTGGCAACAAAATCCACTTATCCAATCCCCGTCACTATCTCGGAGACAACCCCCTGTTGTCATCATACCTAGATTTCCTTGAGATGCCCCATCTGTGCTGAGTTTGATCCAACCTGTTGGTGGAGCTCTCCGTCCAATAAGCTGCTCTTCTCTAGCAGTTGCTGTTAGGGAGCTTCTTGCTCTCATCGCAACCCTCCAAGCTTTCATCGAGTCTTTGAAACAATGTAATTGATGAGAGTAGAATTGGAGATCCTGGCCGCTTTGAATATTAACTCGTTCCTGTGCTTCTAAATATACCAACAAATGAGAGTAAAGAAGCTGGACATCCCTGAATCTTCTGTGTAGTTGTCGCCATCAATGTTTTCCTTCAGCCAAACATCTTGCTCGGATGCAAAGAATTGGGCTTGATCCTGCTATGGCACAAGTTTCTCCCACACCATCCTGCTCCTGTCACAATCCCTTAGTCAATGAATGACGGATTCAGTATCATTCTCGCACAGAGGGCATTTATCATTAATGGTGAGATGTCTAAATTTCCTGACATCGTTGGTCATTATTCTACCTTTTGCTGCTGTTCACAAAAACAACCTGATTGGTTCCGGAATTTGCAGGTGCCAGATCTTGCTTCAATGTATTGAGGTCTAATTGTGGTGTTGTTGGGCAGCAAGTTGATAAGCCGAGGAGGTGGTGAAAATGCCATTAGCAGCAGCACATCCTCTGCGGTCGAAATCCGATCAAGTATGATTGATATGATCCTATTATGTACGTATGTAGGGAGGTAGTCGCATATCTCCTCCATCTTCTAGCCAATGTTGACGTCCCAATAATCAGCTACTTTTCTTTGTTGGAGCTCCACAGGGATGTCACCAATCGCTAGATTGATCAGGGGTTCCTGCAACAAACACGAATCAAGGCAAAAATTTAAAAAATTTCCCGTTCTTAACATTCCTAGCAACACCTTTATTGATGACATTAGTAGTTGAAGTACCTCCCTATTTCGAGCATATTTACTTCGCAAGACTCTCGTCCATAGGGACTGATCACCAGATACTAGTTTCCAAGCACCCTTTGCTAACATGGCTTGGTTAGCCTATCTATTTGGTCTAATGCCAAGCACTCCCTGGTGTCGAGGTAGAGTGATGTTGTCCAGAGAAACCGAGTGGATTCTTGATTTCTCCTCTTCCTCTCCCCATATGAAACGTTCACTGATCATGTCCAAAGCTTTACAAACAATACAGTCAAAAGTGCGATTCTACTTAAAAGTGGTGAACGGGTAAAATCGTAAAGTATAGAATCGAAACGTAAAATTGGTAGTTTTTTATGCATTATGTAAAATAGCTAAAAAAAATATCAAATACGACATGTAATATATAAAAGGAGGTGAGAAATCGTGAGTGTTTAAATTTTACATGTAGTATACTCAATTCTACTTATGCTTACATGATTCTCCACCAAGACCAACAAACCTGTTTAGATTTTAGAAATATCCTAGTATACATATGTATATTCTTAACAAACTGGAGCTTTGTGATGATGTGTTGCTAAATCAAGTTCATAACAAATCCATTTCTAGCTTCTTTCTGTTATCTGCAACTTTCTCTTGTGAATTTCCATCAGGAATTCAAACAAATCAATCGGTGTTAAACCTCCAATAACCCTCAATCAAAATCAAAATCAGATTAGAGTTGCAGAGAGAAGTAACAACCAAATTAAAAGGCTTACTTTCTCTAAAACCATCCTTTCGGCTTAAATTTCCTTTCGGATTTTATTCAGCTTCTATATAAGTTCATATCCACCGAGAATGGACTTCGACGGCCATGAAAGAGATGCTTGCAGGTTGCAGCCGCGGCAGCCGGTGGCGGTGTTGTTTGAAGTTGTGGTGGAGATAGAGGAGGGTCGGGGCTGCGGTGGGGTCGGAGACAGGATGCCTTGTCGGGGACTTCCGTTCTGGTGTTTGCGTCGATGAAGATTGAAGGAGCCAAGAAGGGTGAGGGAGCGGCTATTGATTATGAGCTGGTGTGCTCGAGAAATGAGAATCCGATTTAGGGTTCTTTCTCTCGACAGTAGAAAGACTGCCCCTATTTTTTTTCTTCACGCGTCATTCCATAAAATGGCGTTGCTTTATAATTAATTCTTATTTTCAATGATTTGCACAGAATCGTACAAAAGCGTTGATAAATGCGTTTTTACCCATTTGTTTTGCGTTTTTAACGATTTACTCAAGTTTCATTACATTTTTGTGTACAAAACGAATTTAGGTAGAAACTAAAGCTTTTTTGTGGTCTGGATAAGTAGAAACCTATGATTTTACACTTTAAAGAGCGATTTTGACTGCATTGTTTACAAACACCTACTTTAAGCAATTCAGAAAACATAGGATCAATAGCAATATTAGAAGTTATTGCTTTCACTAGGGTGACTCAAGCAGCCTTGGATAAGTTTCTCGATTTCCAAACAGCAAGCTTGTTTTGAATTTTTAGTAGAAGAGACTTGTATCGGGCTTTGGTGATTCTGCCGTTAATAGCCGTCAATTCCAAGTATCTTCGTAGATTAGTTGTGAGGTTGATCCCTGCCCGGGAGCTGAGCTGGATTGCTCTATCTTTGTGCACATTGGGGGACACAAACATTGCCGATTTGCTGTAATTTACTCTTTGACCGGAGTTGGAAGAGAAGTCATCGAGACATTTCCTGATGATGTCAATCTGCTTCCCTTCGACTTATGCAAATAGTTCGTCATCAAAAAACAGATGGAAGAGATTTGTACCATCCTTTGACAGCGCTAAAGGTTTCCAAAGCTTCTCCTCAAACCACATGCTCTATTCTATGAGCTAATCTTTCCATACATCAAATGAAAAGAAAGGGTGAGAGATGATCTCCCTAGCGAACTCCTCTGCTAGGTAGGATAGGCTCTAAAAGATGGCCATTCTGGTTGATTCTCATTCTATTCATTTCAACACAATCCATGATTCTATTGGTGAGATAGCTGGAGAGCCCCACTTCCCTCAAGGTGTCCCTAATGAAATCCCACAGCATCCTATCATGTGCCTTTTCAAAATCAATTTTGATCACCAGACCACCCTTCTTCCCCTCATTTTTTCTCAAAGAGTGGAGGGTTTCTTGGAGGAGGATGAAGTTGTCATTAGTTTGTCTCCCTTGAATGAACTCGCTCTAAGTGGGGGCATTGAGCTTCGGTATAACTGGTTTCAAACGATTGGTGATTGCCTTGAGAGCGACATTGTTTAAGAAAATAGGTCTGAGTTGCGTCGGCGATTGTGATTGTTCTGTTTTAGGAATTAGAACTATCATCGATGCCATTGATGCATAGATAGTAACTCGAGTTAGTGAATGTATACGACATATAAAGTAGGGTACTAAATAACAACCCATAAAACACCCTAACTCACACTTTAAATTGGACAATTTTCTTGTTGGATTAAACAATGAAGAAAGGAAAAAACATAACTATGTTACCTCAATAGTAGAAAATCCCATACATAACTATCTAGTTTGATGCTCGATTCTGGCTAGTTTGATGCTCAATTCTTGATACTTAAAACAAAACGATCGAAAACGAAGAGAGCAAGTGATTCAACTCCTCGACACAAACTAAGTATGTATCACCATTAAATCAAATCTCCATACTATAGGAGCGAGGAACATCATCATCGCCACTGCCCTGGTTGCAGAGGCAACTGTAATGGCCGATTGCGCATTTAGGCATCCAGACAGTCAAACCTAGGGCTGAACCCTGCCACCACTTGTAACACCCATCAACATTTCACACAAAACATGTACCTACTACTTCAAATCAAGCATAGTTTACAAACCCCGAAAACATTTAAACTTTTACAACCCTAATAATACAAGAGTCGTAGTTTCAAAAATGAAATACACAATCTTGCTGGAGTTCAAGTCCACCACCACCTCATCGCTATCCTTTTGAGCTTGTTGAGTCTTGAAGCACCTACTTTTGCTGCTTAAGACCCGAGAGGAAATTTTCTTACGTGAGTGAGACGTCACCTCAATGACAATGAGGATCATTGTTGAGCTCGAACTAGTAGAGCCACATAGCCACTGCCATTAATAATCATCGACAAGGGTAGAGCTGGGCTCGACGATGGCAGATTTGCAAAGGGCGGCAACGAATTCCTGATACTCATCGCTCCCATGCACACAAAGAGTAAGCATAGAAACCATTGAAGTCAAAAGGAAAGCAATAAGTTCTTCTCTCTTCATTATCGTGGACAGAAGTTGTACCGAAAATTTCTATCTTTTCAACTCTCACTTTTTGTCGACTTTTCTCAGGAGCCAAACATATCATTTTGCTCTCCTTTCATGGTTGCCTAACCTTAAACAGATCTAGGAGTCTAATTGTATGAATTGAGATGGTGTTCTCGCGGTAAAATCGGTTTCTTTGAGGAATCGTTTTTCATTTTATAGGTGGAGTTCCATATCTGCGTGTTGCTGGCAATTTTTGGCTACCTACCGGGGATCATCTATGCGCTGTACGCGCTTGTGTTCATCAATCGGGGCGATGGAGGAATGTGGTATTTCATTGTTGGCAGCGGCGAGAGAGAAGAGAGAGGAATGGTAGATATGTGTTGGTGAGGAGGAAATGAGGAAAGGGGAGTGGAAAGGAAGAAATGAGGGTTTGGTTAGGATAGTCGGGTAAGTTAATATATGGGTTTAGTAAACAAGGCCGAGTTAGTTAATGGGCTGACATGGCGGGTCGAATTTTTCCATTTAATTAGGCGACTCAGCATTTGTGTTAGAAACATACTCAAAAAATTGATGGTGCTAATGGAGGCTAACGAAGACTAACGAAAATAGTTTTGTCAGCACAAATGGCATTATCAGAAATTCATAATATCCATACCTGGTGAGGAAGGCAATTTTGGGTATGGACTCCTCAGCCACCTTTAATTGACGATACCTCGATCTCAAGTCAATTTTAGATAAGACTCTTCATCATTGGAGTTGATCGAACAAATCATTATTTCAAGGTACTGTTCCCTTCTCGGGTTTTTTAATGCATTTCAACGCCATTATAAAAAAATGGTAACATATATTTATTCTTCACGATCACCTTATTAAGCTTCTTATATGAGGTGACACACTGGGTCGAATAAACCCTTTTCAAGCAACTCTTGGAGCTGCTCTTTCAACTATTTAGGTTCCATAAGTGGCCTTATATGTGAAGGAATTTAAATATGTGTAGTTTCCCGGCAATAGCTCTATAATAAACTCAACTTCTCGGTTTAGTGGCAACCTAGGTAAATCAGAAGAAAATACCCCATAATCCATTCACCACCTCCACATTCTCTGGCTTAAGGTCTAATTTGGCTTCCACCACATGAGCCAAGTAAACATCACACCCTTCCTTTATCAAACTTAGTACAGTGGAAGGCAAAATTAGGCACTTAGGCATTGCCTGCCAAATCCTTTTGAAAACTATATTCCCTGATTCAAGAATTTCAAATAGTACTTCTTTGCTATAACAATTCACCACTACTCTATGCCTACTCAACCAATCCATCCCCAATGACGTCGAACTCATCAAATTGGAGAAGCATTAGGTTAGTAGGTAATCCTAATTCTGACACCGTAATAAGGCATTCCAAGTATACTTGACTAATCTCCATCGTATCCCCAACCGGAGTTTTCACATAAAAGTTTTCAGTTAAACATTTAGGTGTTGCATGCAAATGTTGGGAAAATGCATGAGAAATAAAGGAATGCGTTGCACCAAGACCAATTAAAACATTGGTAGGGGTATTATGAATATAAACCATACCAGTAACAACTTCAGGAGAGACATCTGCTTCACCTCTCATCATAACAAAGCACAAGGTCGATTAACTCCAACCATAGAAGATGTATGCTTCCAATTTCTCTACCTTTGATCATACCCTTGATTTTCTTGAGCCTTGATCTCATTCAGAAGGATCCTATCTCGTATAGCAGCTACTTTCAATTTACCATAGCTCTCCATATCAAATATGGATACCTTGTCCCTGATATCCTCTCAGAGTCCCCATATACATACGACACTCTTGTCCTCCTCATTCAGGACTAATTCCGTTGCAAATGTGCTCAAGCGATGAAAACGAGCCTCATTCTCACTCGCAGTATGTCCTTCCTTCTGTTTTAGAGTAAAAAATTCTACCTTTTTCTGCTCGTGGTATACCATCGGTATATATTGCTCTCTGGCATGATGTAGAAGAATATCCCATGACCGCTCAATCGTATTATCTTCTACACCAGGAATTGTGAGGCACCAGTCATATGCATCAAATGGGGTAGTTGGCCTATAAGACAACACCATTTTAGGTTAAACTTGGCCTAGGATGGGGTACTTGTTGACATGTTCTAACCATTGACAATAGTATGCACGGATGAATGCCATCACAAGATTTTCTTGTAAAAACATGAAAACCATTGAAAATCATGCATGATTCATTTTAAAACCATGTGATATCCCATGGATCATATCCCAGCTATGATATCACAAAATGTAACACTCATCAAAATTTCACAAAAAACATGTACTTACTAATTGAAATCATACATAGTTTACAAACTGAAAACATTTAAACTTCCACAACCCTTATATTACAAGACCTGAAGTTTCAGAAACTCAAACTCTGGGATGCATGATTTTAGAGAAGATAAACTTATCTCAAAATGAAGTACACAATCATGTTGGATTTCAAGTCCACCACCACCTCATCGCTATCCTTTTGAGTTTGTCCAGTCCTGGAGCACCTACTTCTGTTGCTTAAGATCTAAGAGGAATTTTTTTAACGGGAGTGAGAGGTCACCTTAATGAGTAAATCCTAATCTAGTACCATAATTAATATAAACATGGTACTGAGCAATCACAAATACTGTTGCAACCGTCCCTCCGGGGGTCCAATGTCGTCGCGTTGGCATTTTTGGGAGTCGCCATCGATCTTACTTGTAGTGGATCGAACACTCTTTGGTCGGCTCTAACCTTAGGGTCAGAACCGAGATATGGTCTGCGGTTAAGAAATTAGGGTTCGGGAGTACGGTTACGTGTGGGGAAGTGAAATCACACCCCATAACGCCCTAAATTGGTACTACTTAAGTCGATAAGTTTTATACGAGTTGAGTATATTTTTGTAATATTTTCGTAATTTTAGGGTCCCACTGGACCATTAAAGAAATTAAATCGCATTAATTGTAATTTAATAGTACGCCCACTGACGTAAAAGATAAAGTTAATTGGTTAGTTGGACTCGAACCTTATCGGTTGCCTACGTACACGTTAGACGGGATCAAAGTCCACGTAGTTCGTTATATCTTTGATAGTTTAATTGTATGACTTTTACCACGTTACATTGAACGTAATTTTCGCATTATGATTTTGTTAATAGAATTTTAGTCAGATTATTATGATGTTACTAAAATGAAAGCAAGAATTTTAATTATTAAGAAGGAATTCGATGTATCAGACAAGGAGCAAAACTAACTTAATCTGCATTCAACATTTCGTATTAAGGACTTTAAATGAATAAATTTAAACGAGATGGTTAAATTAACACATTATTGTCCGCCAGCCCAACTGGCCAGTTGCAAGCACAGTGCACATTTACTCCTAAGGACACAGGTTCGAAGCCAGGTTAGCCAATTTAAATCCCCTTTTTCGCTCTCTCTATCTAATTTCTTCTCCCTTCTCTCGACTCTCTCTTCTGACAACAAAACGAAAACGAGAACAGAAGAAAAGAGAGGCGGAAAGCTCGATTCCTCCACTCTTCCGTCCGTCGCCGCCGTTCCCTAGCCTCTCTTTCTGATTCTCACCCTTCTCTTGTATCCTGGGAAAACACGACCAAGAGAAGAGAACAAGAAAGACACGTCGTCTCTTCCTCTTGCCCTCTCTTTCTGATTCGGCAAAACGACGACTCACATCGAGTTAATCCGACCAGAAGGGCTCCGACCCAGGTAATCTAATGATATGCATGACCCTCCGATTATATTTTTATGGGTTTTAATCGGGCTCTGACCTTTTCCTTTTGTTTGAATTGATGGTTTCTGGGTTTTGGGAAGGAGCCGCCGGTGATGGGGGCAAGGATCTCAGGCGATAAGGGGAGAAGAAACGAGTAAGTTTAGAGTTCTTCTTTTATTTGTTAGATTTATTTTTACTTATTGGGTTTTGACTTGATTTTTGTTTATTCGGGTTTTCGGCATGTTGGTGGGGGTTACTGATAACGATGTAATTGCACATGTTTTCCCCAAAGTCTGGTCGTGTTTTTAACACGTGGCAAGGGCACGGGCGGGCTGGAGCAAAGGACAGCCATGTCGTCGACCGTGTTTTGCCCAGTGATGCCCTTTTAGGTAGATTTAAGCCAAAAGAGAAGGGGATCCGAGTTTTAGAGAGACAGAGCGATTCCTAGAGAGAGAAAGCGACAAACAAGAGCTCCCAAGTGCCCTAGCTTGATCTTCATTACCATTGGAGCCCGGCTTGAGCTTGGAGGAGTGCCGATCGACGACCAGGAGCAGAAATCCATCCCTCACAGTATGGTTTCCGCATCTGAATCTGCTTTTGCTTCTTTCTCCATGGAGTAGTTCTCCCATTCATCTGGGTATGGAGAACCCTAGATTTGTATGTTAGGTATGATTGTATGAACCCAAGTACAGATTCTATGATTTGATTATATTCAATTGAGGTTTGAATGATTGAATGGCATGAATCATGATAAAATTCCTGTTGTTTCTGCTTTAACCTAGAAACAGAATATCTGCCTAGGTTGATAGAGCACCCTTAATTTAAGGTAGTGGATTGGCGACTTTAGTCGAGGAGCCAATTCACTATTCTGTACCGAAGTTACTTCGGTAGAGGAGGTTTGTTCGTTAGGGCCTCAATCTGTTTACCCCGGTGGAGGTTAGTCGTCCGCTAGCGACTCAGATTGAGAGGGTTTGGAGACCTTTAGTCGAGACTTCAGACTGTTTAAGAACCTTCCGCAGTATAACTATCATAGAAACTGAACTTGGTAATTACAATCCGGCTTAACTGCAGTCTAGGGGGAACCATATCCGGGTGACCTCTCTCGACTTGAAACAACCGTTTAACTTGCTTTGTGTTTTTGCTTGTTTGAACCTGCACTTAAGTTTCACCGCTAGATAATAAGAATTCACTGAGTAGTCATCATATCTAGGACCCGGGTGGACATTAAAACCCAAACCCGCTATACTACGCTTTAGGAAGTGGTTACACTTGGCCATTTGCTAGAGTGACAGTAGGAGTGAGTCAAGTTTTTGGCGCCGTTGCCGGGGACGGCTAGGTTGTTGAAGAAAAGTGATTTCTGTTACTTTAGCATTTTCGTTTTCGCATTGACTGTTTGTTCTTTCCCACTTGTGCCTTCACGGTTTTGCTTGCTTGCTTGTTTGTGTGCAGGTAGTGCATGACCCGTAGCCAGTCGAGAGGTTTACTGCCGTTGAATCCGGAGCCAAGCTTTGCCCACTAATGATGCTAGACGTGTTTGTGGTTTTCTGAAGCAGCTATTCTCCCGGTTCGGGACACCTAGAGCGATCATAAGCGATCAAGGCGCCCATTTCCAAGGCCAGTTCGATAAGTTACTGTGTCGCTATGGTGTAACTCATAAGGTGTCCATGGCCTACCACCTTCAAACAAGTGGCCAGACCGAGCTGACGAACCGGGAGCTCAAGCGTATCCTGGAGAAGACGGTGGATCAATCCCGCAAGGATTGGTCCACCAAGCTCGATGATGCTCTATGGGCATACCGCATTGCCTACAAGACGACCATTGGTACTTCACTGTACCGGCTTGTCTATGGAAAGGCCTGCCATTTGCCCGTGGAGCTAGAGCACAAGGCCTTCTGGGCCCTTAAGCTGCTAAACTTGGATGTTAGTGTTGCAGGTGTTGAGCGCAAAATGCAGATGTTGGAGCTGGAGGAGTGGCGTTATCACTAGTATGAGAACACTAAGTTGTACAAGGAGCGCACTAAGCGCCTGCACGACGCACGGTTGCGGGGTCCGAAAGAGTTCCAGGTTGGTGATCGAGTTCTCTTTTATAACTCTCGCCTGAAGCTCTTTCCCGGTGGTCTGGACCTTACACGGTCACACAGGTGTTCCCGTATGGCACGATTGAGATTGCCAACCCGCAGACTGAACAATTTAAAGTGAATGGCCATCGTCTCAAGCTCTAATTGGGAGGCGAGGTCGAACGTGCGGAGTTGGCAGTGGACTTCGCGGACCCTTAGTTCCGCTATGGGCGTCCAGCTAAAAGACGGTAAAGAAGCGCTTGTGGAGAGGCAACCCCACCACGGTTTGCATTTATACCCTTTGTCTTTTTCATTTTTGCTGGTTTTTGAGTCTTTGAGTCTGTCTGGAAAGTATTTCGTGCCTCGGGCAGTTCGTTTTAATGTGTGATTGGGTAATTTTTAGAGCCGGGGCACGAATGAGTCTTGGTGGTTTGAAATTGGAATTTCGAAAAAATGCAGTTTGGGCTCGGCAGTGAAAACACGGGTGTCAGGGGAGGAAAACACGGCTATGTTTTCCCTCCTGCCCACCCATGTTTTCAACCTTGGCTAGCAGAGCTCTGGGAAATAAAAACACGGGCGCTGGGGTTCGTAAACACGGCCGTGTTTTGAACCCAGCCTAGATCTCTCCTCTTTTCCTACGATTTTTCGGCCATAACTCCCTCTCCCCACCTCCAAATCACAAACCGCTACCGCCCCCACGCTCCTAGCTTCAAGGAGCACAATCCCCAAAGTTTTGGGCTTGTTTGGCCGAGGTTGGGTCACCGGCGGCGAGTTCTCCGGCGAGTCTCCGGTGTGTTTTCCGGCGACTTGGGGTGTTTTCTTCCACTTTCTTCACCTCTCTTGTGGTATCTACTTGCGTCCCCAGGTGTGTTTTCATTGCCTTTTCTTTTATTTTTGGAGAATCGATACCTAGAGTTAGGTGAAGAATTTGTGATTGTGGCATGATTTGGGAATGATTTGGTAGGCCGATGACGCTCTTTGCTTGTTATATTTTTGCCTCGGGATTTTAGTTATTCGGCCTACCATTTGCATGTGGCTTTGTGTGCATGCTTGTGTGGTTTTTGTGTGGTGGATCGATTGGTGAATATTTGGTCTGGATTTGGTGTTTGTTCCACTGGGGGCCTAGTCCACTGTCCAAATCGCTCGATTTGAGGGTCCCCGGTGTGTTTGGTTGTGTGATTCTCGTGTGATTGGTATGCTTGTTTCACCGGGAGCCTAGTCCACTATCCATATCTTTCGATATGAGGGCTCTGTGTGTGGTTTTTGCCTAACATTAACCCTGTTTGATTGTGTGCCATTTGTACATCATTGTGCTTTGCAGGATCATGGAAGACTACCTCGACCAGTTGAGCATCACCCAACGCCATCTGCTGCGGACCATCCGTAACCGCACCATCTCCGAGCACCTGCACCTCGATTTTGAGGTGTTTGAGGCGCTTCATGCCAGGACGCAGATGGAGGCCGTTGTTCGCCCCTATGGTTGGCGGCGCCTTCTTTGCCTCGCCGAGCTGACCTACCAGGAGCTCGTCTGGGAGTTCTACGCATCCTTCCGCCACTCCTCGAAGGGGTACGCCGACCATTCTAATGAGGTTCATTTCACGCTCGACGGGGTGGCGCACTCCGTCAGTTACTGGGAGTTGGCCTCTGCACTTCGGCTCAACTCCCCGCACTCCAGCAACCGGCCCCTGCACTTGGACATAACTGATCCCACGGACTTTGCTTCCCAGGCTTACTTCTAGCGAATTTGCCTGCCGAACCATGTGGATGAGCAGTACATTGCCAGACAGACGCGGGCCACTCTCCTCCGTACGGAGTGGCGCATCCTCAACCATTTGCTTACCCAGTCCTACACCCCCAGCCGAGGCTCGTCCAACCGGGTCACACTCCGGACACTGTTCTTCATGCATGCGATGGGTCGCTCTGAGGACACCATCGAGCTGGGCTCTGTGCTCGCCCGGACGTTCGCCAAAGCCTCTGCCAGCCAGGATCGCAGCCTTGTATGTGGCCCGGTGATCACCGCCTTGGCCCGCTACTACGGGGTCGACTTCACTGGGATGACCATGGTCCGAGGACCAACCCCGTTCAGCGAGGCCGTCCTCCGCCACCAGCATTTGGTTTCTCGCCAAGGGCGTGTGCACTGGATTGCGGGCCTCCCTCATCCACCTCTACCTGCAGAGGGCGACCAGCCAGAGTCGAGCGTAGCTGGGGGGACGCCGGGTTCACTGTCGTACTGTTCGTCGTGGCCAGACTCCTCGAGCCCCTCTACTGCTCCCAGGTCTCCGGCTCCCGGGTCTCCTACTCCCGTGGTGCCCATTTCTGACCAGTTGGCGGCCATCGCTCAGCAGAACGAGCGCATTCTGGCCAGCCAAGAGCGCATTCACACCCGCCTCGATCGTGAGCGAGACCGCGGGCGTCGTCTTATGTCCGGCCAGCACTACATCATGCCATACCTGGGCTTGGACCCGAACGCAGTCCACTACCCCTTCGTGCAGTCCCCAGGGTATGAGGATGAGTACCCTCCACCCACCGGCGATGGTGGTGATGCATTCTAGTGGCGAGTGGCTGGTTCTGTGCCTCATTTGTGTTCCAGACTAAGACTCCATGTTTTTGTTGTTTCTTTTTGTTTTGTTTTGTTTTTTTTTATTTTGGATTGTAGACTTGGAACTCCGGTTCTTTCACCAGTGTGTGTCTTTTGTTGACTTTAGCTCTGTGCCTTGGACTGGTTCCCCTTTCAGTCCCCTGCTCTTGACTAGTCTGCCTCCCAGTCCCCGTTCCTGATCTCACTTCCTGGTAACATCGTTCCCCTTCCCTCTGCTCCATTGAGGACACTGTCGCATTTAAGTGTGGGGGGGTTCTTTGTATTAATTGGAACGTATATATGTGTGCTTGGAGCCTAGTCCGCTGTCCAAATCTCAAGATTTGAAGGCTCCAAGCACTGCTGTTTGCTTGATGTTTGATCGTATTGGCACTGTGGATGTGATTATTGAATTGAATGGCTTTTGACTTAATGCATGACAACTTGAGTGTGACTAAGACAGCTTATTATGATGACTGAGATGTGCAGTAGAACTGTGTAGGGGTTCAGTTTTTCAACTGTTTGCTTACCAACGGTGACTTGGATTGATCACTTGCTTTTGACTGTCATTTATGCATCTACCCGAGGCGGAGGGAAAAATACGGGGGTACTTAGTTCAGGGAATCAGAGCGAGAGATAGAGCATATAGGTAGCCATGTGAGACTTGAGCCTGCTCGTTTCTTTCTTGTGCGATAGTTCCCTCTTCCATGATGAGTAGCATTCACGTTGTCATTAGCTAAGATGATGGAGGCATAGGATTAGTCCACGACCAAATTGACTGTCCTGGTGTGTCATACCCCCTAGTCAGCCCCTTTGAGCCGTGTGTTCTCCTTTCTTTCGGTCAATATGAAAAATCACCCTTTTGCATCTCTTAGAAGGTTTCACAGAGTGGTTTTTATATGTTCTCTGCTGTTTCTGCTAAATATAATGTGAGGGTTGGAGGTAGTTCTTAAAAAGTTGGGCAGGTGTTTGAAAAATGTGCAGAGGTGGTGGTTCTCTTAAGAAATGAAAAAAAAATGAAAACAAAGAAAAAAAATGAAAGCAAAAGAGAGTCACCACCAAAAATCTAAATAGTGCCCATTAAGTAGTGTTTCTTAGCAGTCTGGCTTAGAAATACTAGCATTTATGTGACCTCCTTCGCTCTTGTGCTCTGAAGAATTTGAGTAATGCAGAATAGTAGAAAGAAAGTTATTGGTTTGATTGACTGTGAGTTTGTTGGGTTTGGAAATGTGGAACCTTGTGTTATGAATACTTCCACCACCTAAAAGGACTTTTCCCCATGTCCAAGACCCTAGCCAGTCATCTGAACCTGTGTCTAAGACCTCCGGATTAGTTAGTGGTGACACCTCATATGTGAACTCTAGCATTTAGAAGCTGCCTTCATGGTGAAGAGACTTTAGGGATTGAGAGAATAAGCATGCACATTTTTCGCATCAAATTGTCCTGACCCCACTGGTCGAGAGTGAGCGATTCATTTTCTCATATTCTCTATACTCTTTATCCCGGTGAGGACCTATATTGCTCGGTCTTAATTCTGATATCTTGAGCTTTATGCATGAAGTGACTGTTTTGAATAAGTGGTTGGATCAAGTCTATGTTGGTTGGTGAACAGAAGGGAGACTCTTCCTTTGCTCGACTTTACTGCATTCGAATGTCATCTGTGGTGGTTTTCTAGGTTGTCGTTGAGGTTGTCCATGTGTTAATGATCAAAAGCCAGTATGATCCACGTGTTTTGTGCCGATATGATATGCCCTAAAGCCTGCTTAATTGAAACGTTTTGAGCTTACCTTGTGTCTGACTTGGTTTGCTTGGGGACAAGCAAACGGTTAAGTGTGGGGGAATTTGATAACGATGTAATTGCACATGTTTGCACCCTTAGTTCTTATCCGTTTGCGGGGCATAATCGTGTATTTTTAGCCTATTTTACGCCGGGTTGTGATACTTTGTCATATTTTAGGTCCCAGACGTCGAACGAAAGGCTAAGCACGAGTTTCGGGGCATTCGGAAGTCATTCGGTCGAGCTGGAGCCAAAGCACGGGCACGCCTAAATCAAAGCACGGCCGTGTTCCTGGACCGTGTTTTTACTGCCGAGGCTTGATCCAAGACTTTCCAACACTGGCCCAAAACACGGGCGGGGCTGACCCAAAACACAGCCGTGTCCAACATTAGGCACGACCGTGTTTTCCCCAAAGTCTGGCCGTGTTTTTAACACGTGGAAAGGGCACGGGCTGGCTGGAGCAAAGCACGGCCGTGCCGTCGACCGTGTTTTGCCCAGTGATGCCCTTTTAGGCAGATTTCAGCCAAAAGAGAAGCGGATCCCAGTTTTAGAGAGACAGAGCGATTCCTAGTGAGATAAAGCGACAAACAAGAGCTCCCAAGTGCCCTAACTTGATCTTCATCACCATTGGAGCCTGACTTGAGCTTGGAGGAGTGCCGATCGACGACCAGGAGCAGAAATCCATCCTTCATAGTATGGTTTCCGCATCTGAATATGCTTTTGCTTCTTTCTCTATGGAGTAGTTCTCCCATTCATCTGGGTATGGAGAACCCTAGATTTGTATGTTAGGTCTGATTGTATGAACCCAAGTACAGATTCTATGATTTGATTATATTCAATTGAGGTTTGAATGATTGAATGGCATGAATCCTTATCAAATTCCTGTTGTTTCTACTTTAACCTAGAAAGAGAATATTTGCATAGGTTGATAGAGCACCCTTAATTGAAGGTAGTGAATTGGCGACTTTAGTCGAGGAGCCAATTCACTATTCTGTACCGAAGTTACTTCGGTAGAGGAGGTTTTGTTCGTTAGGGCCTCAATCTGTTTACTCCGGTGGAGGTTAGTCGCCCGCTAGCGACTCAGATTGAGAGGGTCTGGAGACCTTTAGTCGAGACTTAACTGCAGTCTAGGGTGAACCATATCCGGGTGACCTCTCTCGACTAGAAACAACCGTTTAACTTGCTTTGTGTTTTTGCTTGTTTGAACCTGCACTTAAGTTTCACTGCTAGATAATAAGAATTCACTGAGTAGTCATCATATCTAGGACCCGGGTTGGCATTAAAACCCAAACCCTCTATACTACGCTTTAGGAAGTGGTTACACTTGGCCATTTTCTAGAGTGACAGTAGGAGTGAGACAGTTACGGACGAGAGGGGGGACTGTGTGGAGTCGCCGGTGGCGAAAATAGAAGGAGGAACGGCAACAGGAGTGGATAGGTTTGGGTAAGAAATTTTTTATTTGCTTCGGTTTACTACCGATTTTAATTGTTTCTGATTTTTGCTCTATTTGGGTGCAGGTTATCCGAACGATGCATATCTAGGTGATTTCTTTGTTAAACTCGAGTTAATACGATTAGAGTGATTAGGCTAAAAAGGGTCGTATTCTGGTTGTTTCTAAAATGGTTCATAGATATGGATTTTAGTGAATGTAGTTGAGTTTGCTTATTCGGAGTCCAGGATTTAGAGAAAAGAAGGAATTTTTAAACTTATGGTCATTATTCATAAATCACTGATTTTTAATAAAAAAATGTAAAATGAAGCCCGTTCTCCATCTCACAGCTGCTGCTTGTGATTTTTATTAGACTAGGTTAATTTTCAAAAACAGTTAAGGGTTTATAAAATCTGAAATTTATTGTGATATGTTGATTTTTGTTGGATTTGGTTTTTATTCAGAAATCACATTTGTTTCTATTAGTGAAATTTTGGCGATTGAAAGCTATATATGTGTTGGTTTGAGTTATATATGCTTAAAAAGAAGTTGAAACTTGACTGAAGATTGAAAGCTATATATATAAATTTGTTTGAGCTATATATGCTTAAAAAGAAGTTGAAACTTGACTAAAGGTTAAAACGATGCTTACCAAGAAATTAGGATAATGATAGAAACTAAAGCAAGTGGATTTAGACGGGAGATATAAGTTATTACTACATAAACGGTGTTCAATTGAAAGGAATCGAATACATGTAGATTGTAGTAGTATTAGTATATTGCTACATAGAAACTGAACCACTGGCTTGAATGTGAAGCAGCTCATAAAGTTGGTAGAGATAAACAGGCAAGCAGTTGGATGATTATAACGGTGCTGTGATTGAGAATGAATTTGACGAAAAAAAAAAGAGATTAGATCTTATTAAAAAGGTGGGAGATTAGAAGCACCAACCTGTTTGGAGTTTCTAGGCCCAAGAATGGCCTTCTGCTTCTATCTTCGGACCTTTGGACCAGCTTCGTGTAGAAGAAGGGTGCAAAGAAGAACAAGATCTAATCTTTCTGTGCTGAGTTTCTATCTCGATAATGGATTGTAGCTTTTTTTCTTTCTCCCCCCCCCCCCCTTTTGGGGTAAGAGAAGCCCCTTATATATCATCAGCTTTCATTATTGTGTGCTGGCTGCTCCTCCTTTGCTCTTGAAATGGTGGTCTGAAACACCATTGTGTTGGCAGTTTGGTGTTGGTTCTGAGAGGGGGTGGCCGTTTTACTCCTTTTGAGAATTTTACTTCTTTTTAGAATTGGCATATGCTCTTGGGACATGATAAGGATAATGATAATGGGTTTGGTTGGTTGGGTCGACCAGAGTTGACCGGGCCAACCAGAGTGGACTGGGCCGAAATATGGGTCTGGGTTGTGGCTTCTTGTTTTGGGCTCTTCTTCTAATACTTTTTTTGCAGGTCACTGGTCTGTTTCTGGCCCAAAATGATGAACTAAGGAGGCCCGAATAGTCTCAAAAGACTAGGCCTCCAATCCTGATTGGTGCCACCAAAAGCAGAATTCTCTTAAAGGTTATAAATTGTGATTTGTAATTATACATTCATTTATATTTGTTATTGCTTTTAGAATTAGATGATCATTGTATGTATTGCTCAAACATTCAATTGATTCTTCCAACTCAATTCGTTTGCTTATCCAATTTCAAACTGTATCCAAACATCTAATCTATGTTTCCCAAACCATGGATTTGGGTCGTTAAGCAAAATTACCAATTGTTCTATCCCTTTTGACCAACTTTAGACAAATGAGACCAACTAAATACAATGACATTAGCATAGGTCGTGACGGCATACTATTATTATTCTAAATAAAGCGAATTTGGTAGCCATTAGCTACTGCTAATCCTACCTAGTACAAATGTTCGAACCAAATAAAATATACCTAGTAAAAATATTCGAACCAAATAAAACAGACTTAAAATGGTTGGTACGTATTGATTCGCCACTGCTAATCTCAACCAACCTCGTCCAAATTTTTACTTGAGTTTTCTTTTTAAGTTGGATATTCTTTTGAGTTTTGAGCAGGATGGTTGCTCCGGACAAAATGTGGTGTCTACAATTACTATCTCATAATCCCTTGTTAACTCTAGCATCAGAAAACATATACATTAACCTCAGTGTACATTATTCACATTTTATCATTCATTACAACACACACACACAAACACACAATTACATAACACACATCATTATCACATTTCGGCCTAGCCATGCACTCTCTTCTTCATCTTCTTTTCCTACCGCCTCCGCCTCCTCCTCCTCCACCTTATCCTTGATGCCTAGGCTCCTCTACCTCCGCCGACCTAACACATCGGTGAATCTTTCCCATAGTCTGAAAAATTAGCATATAGTCATATACACACACACACACACACACACACACATATATATATACTTAGGACTCATCTCGTCATCACATTTCAAACTCTTCTCCAACACTCCGAGCGCATGACTAAGCCTTGATTTCATAATTCATAAACACAACACACATTCATGCACACACACAAGTATTCAATTTGTATTTCATCACATCCATCATCATCATCGTCAACATCACACTTATAATTTCACTAACGAGAACCTTAACTTCAAGGGGGTTCTTGGGTGGACTGAAACTTGAGGAGCAATCGTCCGGCTCACGACGTTAAAGAAGCACTTAGTGGGAGGCAACCAATCTACCATCGTTTACTTTGCTTTCCGCTCCAATAAGAAGACCATTGAAGATATTTTGGTGGTGTTTTGGACGTGGCTCTTCCGGAGCTCAGCAACCCTCTGCTCCCGAGCACAAACATTCACACCTTGACCGGTAACATCGTTCTATCCCCTTCTTTTACGCTATTGAGGGCAATGTCGAGCTTAAGTGTGGGGGTAGTCTATTATGCATGTGTGTGTGAATGTTTGGTGTGATTTTGAATGCTTGGAGCCTAGTTGTATGCATAAATTTTTAAAATTTGAGGGCTCCAAGCATAACAACTTCTACATTTGCATGATCATAGTGGCATCTTGTGGTGATTTGTTTTGAATCTCGTGGTTATTAGCATGGTCTATGGATGATTTGCTTGTGATTGTGTGAAACCTATCATGACGACTAAGACATGTATTAGGTTTGTGCATAGGTTCATTTCTCATGTGTTTGTGAACCGATAGATGTTTTGAATCGATTACTCGCTTTTCAAAATTGCCTATGCATCGAGTTTAGGGAGTGAGACCGAATTATTGAGCACCTAGGTACCCATGTGAGACTTGTGTCATTCGTTTCGTTCTTGTGTGATATGATGCGTAGCATTCACGTTGTTGCTTGCAAGGAAGATGGAGACATAGGTTTAGTCCATGACCCAAATGTTGACCGACCCGATCATATCATCCCTTAGTCAACCCCTTTGAATCGTGTGTCTATGGGTCGTTCTCGTGTTAGGTAGCTCATGCTACTTGAGCTTGATTGATTTAGATAGAACGACCCTACTTTCTTCGTGTCTACAGCGTTATCGAGTCACCCTTGTGTTTGGAAGCTCCATTCATACCATTTGAGCTTGAACGAGGTTCCACATGAGTGATTTGCTTATGGTTTTGCTAAGAGGTGAAGTGAGTGTGGAGGTAGTTTTTCAAGTGAGCATTGTTCCTTAAGTTAAAAAATGTGGCATGTTTATAGCTCCCTTTAGCCACCGAAGAAAAGATAAGAAAAGCAAAAAGAAAAAAAAAGAGATCAATAAGTGGGCAAAGAAGAAAAGAGAGTGCCCACGAAAAATATAATAAATTTTGAACATGCTCTTAGAACTGTTGCTTAACATGAAAGCTTTAGGAACGCTTACATGTTGTTTGCCTACCACACTCTTGTGCTTGAAATTGAATAGCAAAGGTAGCAAGAAAGATGGTTGCGAATGGTTTGGTGATAGGTTGTGGTTTGGAATCGAGGGATTGTGGTTTCTGGCCGATGCTAGTGGCCATGGAGTATAGGAAAGGGTTGTAATCGAAAACTTAGAACCTCTTGTGGTTTTAGGATGGAAATGTGGAACCTTGTGCTATGTTTGCCACCACCCAAAAAGCTTTTTCCCCATGTCGTATACCCTAGCTAGTCATTTGAACCTGTGTCTAAGACCTCCGGCCAAGCTAGCAACGACACCCATCTTGTGAACTCTAACATTCAAAGGTTACCGTCATGGTAAAGGGACGTTAGGATTAAGCGTGAATATGCACATCTTTCGCATCAAATGGTCCTCACCCCACTGGTCGAGAATGAGTGATTCATTCATCATGTTTTGTTCATTTCTTATACCCCGGTAAGGACCTAGGTTACTCAATCGTTCGTACCTATGATGTGATCTTCATGTATGAGTAAGTGTGATTGGTGAGTCGTCGAGGCATGCTGTGTGTGGGTTCGTGAATATGTGAGAACTCTTCTTTTGCACAATCTTAATACAGTTGAATGTCGTTTGTCGTGGTTGCCAAGATTACTTTGTTTTTTTCCATAGGTCGGTGTCAAATAACCATTGTGATTCATTCATTTTGTGACCTATGACATGCCCCAAAAATTGTGTTTAAGAAGTTGTAAGCTTACCTTGTTTTGTACTTGGTTTGCTTGGGGACAAGCAAACGTCTAAGTGTGGGGGAGTGATTCAGGCCTAATTGTACACTTTTTATCCCCGTTTCTCTTTGACGTTTGTTGCAATAGAGCTAAAAAAGGGGTGGTTTTACGGTATGTTTCTTGTGTTTTAGCGTGTTTCAGGATCCAACAGGTGAAACCAACCCTGGAGTCGAAAGTTGGAAGAAAAGGAGCAAAAAGGAGGAAAGAGCCTGTGTTCAAGGTCTACCATTGGAGTTCAAGGTCTTACAGGACTTTGAACTGGAGCCAAATCCATGAATCACAAAGCGTCCAGGGCGAATCTGAAGGTTACTGACGCCGAGTAAGTTCGTGGTCGCTAAGACCGTGAACTCTAAGCACAAACCATGAACCGTGGATCTGAAGCGTTGCGTTTTGGTCTCAACACTAAGTTCACGGACGCGTTTCAATGTTCACGGCCGTGAACTGCTCAACGCGTCCTTGAACTAATATCGTGAACTAATCAACGCGTCCTTGAACTCAGCTCGAAGACCTTGAATTCAGTTTGATTTTTAGGTATAAAAGGAGAGGGGAGCTGAAAGAGAAAGGGGGGGGGGGGGGGAGGGCTGGTTTTTGGGGAGAAGAATTGGTTTCTCTCTCTAGGGTTTGCCCAAAAACACCAATGTGTAGTTCTAGTGAGAGAGAGAGAGTGCTAGAGTGATCTTGGAGCATCATTGGAGGCTTGGGTGGAGATTCAAGCATAGAAGAAGAAGAAGAAGAAGAAGACAAAGATCTTGAGCTCAAATTTGTAATCCCTCTCTCTCTCTCTCTCTCTCTCTCTCTAGAAACGCTCAATGTTGAATTAAGCAAATCAGTTAATCGCGATTAAGCCGTCTGACCTTTGAGTTGAGTGAGGGCGTAAGTCAACTACCGATTGCCTAAACTGAGGGGGTTGAGTGGCACGACCATAATGCTCACCTCGGTTTAGCAATTGAGATTGTGGTCTACGACCATATATGCATTCCTCTGCGGTTCGCGGTTACCTAGCCCATAGCAATCGTTTCAATCAAACGAGTCACGGTAGCTAGTTAGGGGGAAGCAAATCTTGGGTGAAGCTCGCTTAGTTAGACTTTTCCTTGCTAGTTTAGTTTGTAGCTTTCTTAGCTTTAAAACCCAAAGCTGTTTTGCTAGATAACAACTTGAGCGATTGAAGTAGGGGTACATGGACCGGCCCGGGTGGACAATTTAAATACTTGCTCTATACTGCACCCGGCTAGATATTAAAAACTTGGGCTCTAGTTGGTATTAATTTGTGGTGTAGTTTCGTGCGAGTCACTTATTCAGACTCAAACATGACTCCTAATACGGTTTCTAGAACCAAAACTCATTGAATCCCTCCAACCCTGCTGTTAGAGTTCTTGGTTCCAAAGTGGAGGAAGAAGGAGTAAAGATGGACACATGGGGGTTCTGACCTTGTTGACGATCTTTCCACTATAGTTTCTAGCAATCTAGGTTTGATATAACCCTTGGAATATGATATTGTTGGAAGAGGAAGTTTGGGTGGCTCATGTAATTAGCCACTTGTATCAGTATAGGGCTAGCCGACCCTATATATATCCACATACTAATAGTTGTGTTGGCGGATGTTGATTCTCTATGAATAAGAAAACCTAACACCTTGTGCCGTGGACTAATCTCAACGCTTGGCGTTGAGAAAACAACGTAAATCTTGTGTTCTATGTGGGATTGCTTTATCATTTAGTTTGGGTTTTGACAAATCTAATTATGGTGGAGATGATGGTGAAGGACAAGAGCGATGGTGGGTTTTAGAAGAGAAATGAAAGAGATATGGGATAAGCAGGTAAGTGGAGGAAGAGTGCAAAATTATGCACCTCTTCCCTTCTAGTTCACTCTTTCTCCCTTCTCCTTCTCCAATCTCCACTCAACAAATGGCAGGAACACAAGTTGGTAGCCATTTACTCCTCCGACTTCCCTTTTCTTGCAAGTAAGTCCTCCAACTTATTAATTCACCATAACCCAAATTGGTAATTTAATTACCGACTCAATTTAATCCACTTAGTCATGTGAATTTGGTAACCTGTCCATTTTCCACCCAGTGGACGAATCTTAATCAATCCTTATCACATGAATGCGACACATAGATGTAACGTGAGCAAGTAGGAGGGAAAGGATGCTATACCATTCACGTTGTTCCTGCACTCTTGGTAGTTAGGCTCAACCTAAGGGTAAAACCCATGAAACTGATATTCCACAATTCCCAAACTCTTATAAACCCTTCAAAGTTACTTCTTGTCCTTGTAGATCAAAGAACAGTTGCAAGTTTATGAAGTCAAACTTAACTGGACCTAAATATCTTAATCAATCTAGTTCCAATACAATATCATGTGACCCCAACTTCAGAACCCTGATCGCATCAAAAGCTTGTATAGTGACGTCAATAGGTTCTTTAGTAGCCTCCTCCACTATTTCAATGGCTTTATCTTCACTCCAACCCCTATGAGGAAATACTACTATCTAACCGGTCTGCAAAGCTTTCAGTTGCCTCTTAGGTTCACACATATGGCCATAGATATAACATTTTATAGTTGTAGAACACTCCTTTAGTAGTATTTCTTCTAGTATCGAGTAAAGTCTGGTCAGAGCAGCCTGTTTAGGGGACTCCCGTTTCTTCACCGCGGAGGCAACCAAACCATATGAGAAAGTTAGATAGAGGCTTAAACTAGACCCTCTCGGCTTCATATGCTGAGCTTCATTGGAAGCCTCTTATAATCTTCACAGTTGAAATGCATGTGACATGGACTAAGGTTGCGTCATAGATCCATTGGTCTCAGCTCTTCTAATCCACTATTAAAGCACGAAATGAAGTATTCCTCTTCTATAGCAATGTTGTGCCACATCATTTATGACCTTAATACCTCAGAATTTCTCTGGATAATTTACTTGATATCCTCTATCTATCAATTTTTGAATTCACCAAGCACACCCCCCATATGACTATTCGTTGAATTTTCGACATAGGGAAGCTACAAAATCCTCTCAAATAAGCTCTATATGACCTGCTACCTAAGCTTCGAACCAAAAATATGGTATGTTTCCAATGTATATGACTGCCAAACAAAATCTCTAACCAAGTGTCATTCCATAAATCTCAAACATTTCCTAGTCCAAAGTATATTCTGCAAGTCGATTCATTTGAGCCCGACCTCACGGCAATGGAAAATCCTTCTATGAACCAACTTCTTTGTGCGTCGGTTTTGGCAAGAACCCTTGGTCATATTTTCCACCCACTAATGCTCCCTCGACGCTAACCACAATCACTGTTGGGCGAGGTTGACATAATTCGACAAATCTCATTATTTCTGCCAAATGAGCCTCACAGCAGCCTTCCATACCAAGTGAAGCACTAAAATTGTCCCCTTCCAAGTTTGGTCAATTTCCATGAGCTTTCTTCTCACTAACTCCAGTCTTACTTCCTTCCATTTCAATCAATCAATCACCCGACCAACCCATCTCTTTTTGTTCAACCCTGATTCGCTCCATAGTTTCACCCAATAATTACTCCTCCCTTCACTTCTCTTCCTCAAAAGTACTTCGATGTAGATATGATATTCAGATGGAGTTTGTTGAGTGGTTGGGCACGACAAGGGTAACGACTTATCTGGATCTTAGAGGCGGCACCAAAGATTGAGGCTGAAAATGACACTGGAGCGGTTAATTTGTTCACCACCTTAGGAGAGAGATGATGACATAAGAAACAGATAGTTCTTGCCCTTCCCTACAAATGTTTGGATCTGGGAATAAAGGTTCCCGATAGTCTGTCGAAGAACTTGTAGCGTTGGCAAGCTCGCTAGGTAAAGGGAAGGGAAAGACGATAGGAAAAGGGAAGACAAAGACGTCCAGCGAGCCAAGTGAGAGAGGGATTAGAGGAAGGAGAGTGTAGGGAGCAGATGGTGTTTCCTGATCACTCCTGGGAGGGTTTTAGAAGAGTTTTTTTTTTTTTATAACAGAGAACCTTTACTCGTAGTTGCCACATTGGTGACCCCACAAGCAGGCTAAACTCTGGCCTACCACCTCACAAGCGATTGCAGCCGACGGGAAATTGGAGGGAGGGTGTGGGTGCATCAAGTATGAGGGTCATGTCCACCCTGGAGGATAAGGATGCACCTCGCGTCCAGGGAAGTGCTATTGGAGAACGCATGTTGCTGCCATGGATCGAACCTATATTTTTATTTTTAATAAAAAATTATATCTTAAATTAAATATGATGTGAATACCAATATGGATGCTGAGGCGGAATTAAGTTAGTAATACTTTTAACGGTAACAGAATATGACTAAAATTTTGTAATACTATTAAAGATTTGACTAATATTTTATATTTTCAAAAGTTTGACTAATATTTTAAAATGCAATATAATAACCTAAAATTGACTATGTAATTACGGTTAACCCATTAAATGATTCTGATTATAACCCAACTGACTAACAGCCTAACCATACGTATAATTTAGTCGTTCTTCTCCTTTCGTTTTCCCCAATCTTCCCATTTCTCTTATAATTCTTTAATTCCCTTCTTACCGAATATTTCCCTTTCTCTTCCAGTTCTTTAATTCCCTTCTATTAATTGTCGGAGTCCTCCTCCTACCATTACAAAATATTTATGTTTTTTAGATAAAGGGAATTATTTTCAGCAATGAATATCAACTTGTGAGAAATGGCCTAATGAAAGTGTAGCAAAATTGCAAAGGCATTCAAGGCTATAAAACTATCATCTGAACTGCATTATATTAACATATAATTTCCAAGCAAAGTCTACTACTACATCCATCATCTTTTTCTTGTTACTGCAAGAACGCATGTTATAGTAAGTAACCGCTACATCCTTCGTCCAATCCAAAGTAGCAAGAGCACAATATAGTAAACATTACATGCTTAGTACAAAAGAATGACAACCACCTCTATCAACATATACTCTTCTGACAAGGATCATGAAACTAGACAGACACTGCCTGAGAGGAAGCAAGATCAGGAGGGCGGTGAAAAAGTATGAAATATCAACATCCAATAATGACCTTCTCTAATTGGATGCATGATCAGGGTGAGTGATTCAAGGCTGGCGGGCCATGGTCTGATCAGCGGGAGGGAGCATAACCAACATGGACTGAGATTGAAAGCCAGGATGTGGCACCCTGCGCCTAATCTCCCGGCCTTCCTGACAAAGGGCGCATGGGTGACAGAAAACATGAGTAGTAAAATCACATGCACTCTCACATTGTTCGAGCTGGAACTCGTCTTCAATGCAGGTTCCACAACCTCCACATGACCTATTCACTACCTCGCAACTTCCCTGTTCATCCAAACCCCAACATAAAAAACACACTTGCCTTTAAGAAAAATATAAAAAATGGTGGAGAAAAGACAAAAGCCTAAACTAAATGGGAAAATAGACATTAACTTGCCTCGAGGTTAAACTTGCGACGCATTGCAGTGCGGGTGGGATATGAAAACCATGGAGCAAGGCAGTTCCAGCCAAATACAGAATTACCGATCAAGTAGAGGCCAATGTAAGGCAAACAATGGTTTGCAAATGTTCCTGGAGCTGATCCTAGTCTCTCAGCATTGCTTCCATGCAACACACAAGGGGCTACACTTCCAAGAAGACCTGCAACTCATACCATCCCACTATTACGACTTCACAGAACAACGTACTACATCGAGTCTCTGTCAAACTATCTTTGATGTTGCAACAGGTTGAATTGGGCTATATGAATCAAAGGCATGGCATACATTTTTCTGATCATCATGAATCTTGGAGCCCTAAGTCAAAGGAAAGGGATGGCATACAAGGGTACAGATTACGGGCGGCGTCATTCGCCTCCTTAAAAGTAAGAAAACCATAAGGGTAAATATTAAAAAAAATCGTCAATTTTTTATTTTCGTGAGAATTGACCAGAAATTCCCTATTTATTCCTGCAAATCGAATAGATGTCCTGTCAATGTCTTTTTTGACGGTTCAATTGGTAAGGAAACGGAATCCCGACAAATCTCAGAAATCAATGTTGCACACTTCCAAAATTAAGCAAGGAAAAAAGACGGAAACCAAAAGACTTACACACTTCAAGATCGCTGCTACAAAATTCGTCGTTCCGGCCGAACCAAGCACAGATCCCTGAATCCCATTGTGCCCTGCCCATGGGCTCCCCCACAACGCTTCTGTGAACCAACGGCAACCCATTAGCCGTCCACCCATTCTCCACGGTGGAACCTCCCTGCTCCACCGCCGTCCATTTCGCCGTTGGAGAAACTGAGGCGGTAGGCTTGGTGTTGGTGGTCGCCAATACTTTAGTGTGTTTCTTAACAGATACTTGTTCTTCCTTGGTATTCGTCTTGTTCAAGAGAGCGCTCGATTCCTCATGATCTTCATTAGAGAAACCGAGGGTATTGGCGGTGTTGTTGTGAGCCATTATGTTGATCGTAGAAAGAGATTTGGGGATGAGAACAGGTGCTGGGAGAGGAACAAAGCGATTTGGATTTGTGCGAATGGAGATGGAAGATGGATGGAGGGCAGGTGGACTCTGCAAAATCGCCGTAGAATAATTGAAGAGAACAAATAGGGAAGAAATTTACTAGAGAATGAAAAATTGGAAAAAGCAAATAGGACGTGAATAGTCGATCCGCGTGTTGGGGTGCAACGTGCAAGCTTGGGGAACAAATCGAAAAATCTTAATTTTACAAGAGAATTAAATTTTTACCTCTAATTTAATTTAGTGGGTATATTTATTTTGTTTTATGTCCTAACTAAATTTTTTAGGATACAAGTCTCTCCTTTTCTTTGAACACGATCATTTTTGTGCTCCTCGGTATGATGGTGACCGTCACTTAATAAATTTTTTAGGATACTAAGTCCCATCAGGCTTCGTCGATGGTGGTAGCTCTTGTTGCCAATCGGAGTTTTTGGAGCCAGAATTCTTTAGTGGCTCGCTTCGCATCCCAAAGTTTGTGATTGAGAAACGATGGGAGCACAACCATTTCGGACTATTCCTATCTTGTCCAACGTCATTATCTATGCTTTGCTACTAAGAAAACTAGATCCGGGGACGAGAAGAAGAAGTATGTGTCTTCACTTGGGGGAAAAGCTTGTTTTCTTCAAGTTTCCATCTGCCTCTGTTTTCCAATGGGCATTTGAGAGCGGTCTTTAGCGTCATCGACGTAATATATTTTTTTTTTTTTGAAAGTGGATTATGAGTATCCAACCTCTTGCAATTGACGATTCCTTAATTCCATTTTGGGTGAATTTGTCTAATATGTCTGCAGAATTCATGTCTAAGGAGGGTTTAGGAAAAATAGCAAGTTCTATAGGGAAGCCTTTGCGTATGGACCTGCCAACTAAAACATGGACTAAGTAGTTGACCAACAAGCTTGATGTTGGATATTGAATACTATCACTTGCCTGTAGGGTGTTCAGAGTGTAAGGGGTTTGGCTATGATTGTTTAAACCCTGAGAGTAATCAGAAAAGGTCATGGAGGACCCAGAAACAAGTAGTGGGAAATATGGCGGGCGTACAGGCTGATGGTGAATCTAGCAAGGAGATAATGGTTTAGGATAGTGAGAAGGAAGTTTTGGTTGAATCTTAGTCTGGAGGTACTGGCTCTAAGAAGGAGGCAAGTGTTGAGAATAAAGAGAAGGAGGTAAGGGTTGAGGAGTAGGCAGAAGTTGATGGATCCATCAGGGAGGTTATAACACAGGTTACTCTTGCTTCCTCAAGTAACAAGGTTAAGGTCATTGATGAGGGATTTACCTTTGTGGAGAACAACAAACAAAAGCTTAAGTCAGTGACTCACTCCGAATATCACACTTAAATCACACCTAAGGCCCAAGTATAAACCTTAAATGAGTGCAATATAGGACAAGTATGTTTAAATATCAACCCGAGCCGGTCCATGTACCCCTATTTTAATCGTTTGAAACATTATCTAGTGGGATGAAGTTTGAAAGAATCTCTACAATCTACGATTAAAAGTGCAAGGCTTGAAAAGTCAAAGGGTTGAAACTCTTGGTGAGAAGCTTCATTTGGAAGTTGTTTCCACCTAACTAACTACCATGAACTAGGTGGAGCAACAATGGTTGGAAACCACACTGTCAATCGCTAGGTCAAGGAATGCATTATAGGCTACGAAAGTAGCCCTCTTGGCTGAAGCAAAAGAGGGTTGACTTACTTTCTCCCTCAAACCAAGGTTTGGACGGCTTAATCACAATTAACCTAGATTTCTAACTTGAGTTTAGAGGTTTGTCTTACGTTAACTTAGTTAGGAGGCATGGAATGCCTAAGAAAACCCAGCTAAATTTGAGCCTGTTAAGAAAAGCGGGCTTCTCTCTAAGCTAGGTTAGGGTAGCACAATAGATTGCCAAACACACAAAATGCACAATCATCAAGAACAATACCTCAAAACTTTAAATTAAACATCACCCACACACAATCATTCAATCCACACAATCAACAACATGGTAGAACCTAGGGTTCTACAGCACCCAAGTGAATAGGAGACTACTCCATTCTAAAAGAAGGAAGAACATAAAGGAAAAAGGAAAAAACCATAATTGTGATCCCTCAATCCTTTCTTGTGCTTGTAGAGATCCTCCCTTGAAGATGAACTTCACAATTCTTGAATTGGAGCAAACCCTAGCCTCTTCTCCCTCTTGGTTCGTGATTTTCTCTCTCTAGGGTTTTGAGAAGAAGAATTTTTATATCACTTTAGGCTACCCTTTCTTCTTCCTTTCAGCTTTCCTTTTATCCACTGATTGTAGACAGTTCATGGTCCCAGTTCATTGCAGTGAACATCTGGCCTAGACCGTGAACCTAGCCAAAACGCATTGCTTTCATTTGTTGAGTTCGCGGTCCATGGCTTCAGTTCACGGTCTTACGACTGTGAACTGACTCGGCGGCAGTAACTTCCGAAACCTCTCTGGACGCCCTTCAGTTTGCGGTTTGTGGCTTCAGTTCACAGTCCTGGCGTAACAAAGAATGAACAAATGGGAAACAAAGGTCCTCACCAGGGTATGATATGACATGCAAAGCAAGAATGAATAACTCACTCTCTTGACCAATGGGGTCGGGACCATTTAGTGGAAAAATGTGCACAATCATCAACTCTTGGCCCTAACGTCTCTTCACCATGGAAGCAACCTCTAAATGCTAGAGTTCATGGGATGGTTGTCATCACTAGCTTGTCCGGAGGTCTTAGACATGGGTTCAAATGACTGACAGTTGTCTTGGACATGGGGAAAAGGATTTTTGGGTGGTGGCAAACACAACATGAGGTCCTACATCTTCACCTTAAAACCGAAGGTTCTATGGCTTCGACTAAGAACCTTCCCTACAAACAATGGCCACTAGCATCAGCCAAAAACCTTACTTCTCCCTTCCAATGTATCACCCATCACGAACCACATTCAAGCACACTTCCTCGGCCTACTCTTGCTATCACATTTCAAATATAGTAGTGAAGGAGTTCAACAACAATGTGGGTGTTTCAATGGCTTGAGTGTCAAAAAACCTCTCCTAGAGCATACACTTTGATTTTTGTGGCACTCTCTACTTTATTTACCCCGCTTTATTAGCTATTCTTTATTCTTTTTCTTTCTACTTCCCTTTTCTTTCTTTTTCTCTTTTCTTTTCTTTTGAGGGGGGTACTAGAGAGTAAAAAACTTGCAACATTACATTTAACAACCAATGCTCTCTTCTAAGAACTTACTCCAACACTACTCTTTTCACTTTCATTCCTAGCAAGAACCGCATCAAATCCTCCTATGTACAACCTCAATGGAGCTCCTAAGCACGAGCTCTGGGACACAAGGATGACTTACGTATAGACACAATGAAAGGATGGAGGTCGTTCTATCAAACACGATTAAGCATACGAGCAAAAATCTCATTAAAGAGAACGGCCCCCAAAGTCACAAGGCTCAAAGAGGTTGACTAGGGGATAGAATATTTCGGGACAATCAATATTTGGGCGTGGACTAAACCTATGCCTCCAACATACTCACTAGGGACAACTGTGATGTTACTCACATGGTAAGAGGGATCTAAGCACACAAGAAGAAAACGATCGGCTCAAAACTCGCAGACTAGGGATGACAGACCTAGTGAGTAGAGTGTGCATAATCCTCCATGGGGTCTGCAGCTTCACCAAATTTGTGTGGCCGCCCTCGAACTCATCATGCTGGTGCTTGGGGCGGCTGAGTGCCTGGAACGCTGCCTGACAATGGAAGTCGACGGTATACTGCCTCATCGTCATGTGTGTGGGGTCCAACCCCATGGCCTGAGCGAAGGTGTCGTATGTTGGCACCTGTGGCAGACCTCCCAAAATGAAATCCACGTGGGGTCGACTCCGTTTACTCATCGGGACCACGTGGGAGAAGGTGGAATAGAACTCCACGCAGAGCTCTCGGTAGATGAGCTCATCCACCGTCAACAACTAGCACCACTGGGGGTGGAAAACAATACCGTACATTGCCGCTCTACACCTGAACAAGATGAACATCTCTAGATCAAGCATCTACTGAGGCCCCACTTCATGTTCATCTGGTAAGCGAACTTGGCCCTGAACCATTCGCGGTTCACCAAGTATCGAATGTACTCATGATCCATATTAAGCATCCTGCAAAATAGTCAAACATGCACATTACGTGGAAACAATTGTCAATCTCAACTCATTGGGAGGAAAAAGAATTCTCGTCACACTTATTTTCCCACTATGGTTCCATGACATTTGAAACAATTAAGCTCAAGCACACTGAGGCATGGTTCTCGGTGTTTCATGGTTTATCCACACAAAAATTCAACCCAAACCATGCCACAGTGGCTACCATCCACCACTCAAACATAAAGGTTCCACATTCATTCATAATTTTTGCACTTGGTGGGCAAATTTCACATTTAAAAGCAATTTTTCCGGCTCCATTAAGCTCATACAAATCACATTCAACATTCATACACCACTAATCAACTAATCCCTTGCCCTATTTCTATGTTCAACAATCAATTCACTAGATTCACCTCACTTCACTCCCTAATCCGATTCTCCATAATTAACAAAGGTAAGCTCAAAAACAAACCTAGAGACTCAAGAAGGATCACAGGGGAAGTGAGGTTAGGAGGAGGGAGTCAAAAAATTGCACGAAAACATGCTAGAGAGGGGTCGTCGGAGTCTCACCGTAGGATCTCCAAAAATCGCCTCACCGGAAAAATCAGCTCCAAATCTTTCCAAAATCTCAGTGAATGCGCCCTTGATGAGGGAAGATTGGGTATGTGGTTGGTTTTTTATTTGGATCGCCGGAAGTTGAGGAAAATGGCGAAATTCGTCGGAAAATCACAGTTTTCCGGTGAAAAATGGGTCGTGAAGTGAAGATATGGCGTTCATGACCCTTTTATAAGCAGACCCCAAGGTTCACGGATGCGTTGCCCTGTTCACGATCTCTAAGACTGTGAACATAGCTCGCGGACCACGAACTAGGGTGAAACGGCGAGTTTCACAACATGTGGAAGTACCCTAGTTCACAGACGCGTTAAGCTTAGACCGTGAACTGAAGGGAAAACAGTGAATTTCCAGAAAATTTTGACTCAACCTACTCCACCATGCCTACTATCGATCACAACCCATCTCAAAACACA